CCGGCGGCCGCCGCCGCCCAAGGACCAGCAGGAGCGGGCCCGGGCGTTGCCTCTGGGGGCGCTGTACACCGCGGCGGTCGTGGCTTTCGTGCTCTATAAGTGTTTGCAGGTGCGGGAAGACCGTGGTGGGGATGCCCTGGGCCTGAATTTCCCAGGGGGGCGTTAGGGTACCAAGAACAAAAGACATCTTCCGGTCGTTCTATGAAATGAACAATAGTTCCTTGGCTTTCCAACATTACGGGGTCATTTTGAGCATCCAGCGAGGCAACGGATGTGAAGGGCACATGGTAAATTGTAAATAATAAATATCACATGTAGTCTTCGCAACAAGCCAATGAAGAGATTAAGTGACTTGCTCAAGGTCAGAGCTAGTAACTAGTGGAGCTGGGATTTGAACCCAGCGAGTGTGGAGTTCCTGGTGAGATTCCAACCTTGGCACAAGAGGTTGGTTACGGTAGTCAGTGTTTTTTGAGTTCAAGGTACCAAGCAGGCTCATGTTCTTGGGAACGAGGCCCTGAAATATGAATTGACAGTACATTTTGGTGGATTGAAACTGTTGAAATGGAAAGTAGTACCTCCCAGGGCTGTATATTCAGCCCTGGCCCTATCACTCAATTGCATTGGGAAATAGCTCCAGAGCAATTTAGAGATGATGTAAAACTAGAAGGGACAGCTGATCACGATCCCAAATAGACTTGACAAGCTAGGATAAAGGACTGAGTTCAATGATGAAATTCAAAGAGGACAGATAAATTCTATTCTTGGACCCAAGTATAGTCCAGAAGAAACATAACAGCAACAGTTCATTGTTTGGCTAATGAAGTTCATTTGTGTGATGTGACAACCCATTTCCTAAATAAGTACTGTGCGTTATCTTATGATCGGAACATTCCTGGAGAAAACTTTATTCTCTTTGGGGCACTGATTTAAAAGCTCAAATTCAGTAAAGCAACCAGAGAAAGTCATGTCAAATGAGCACTGACTGGAAAAGATTGGTGATATTAAACCAGAGAGGACGTAGGGAAGTGAGAGGGGGCAGGGGTGGGGGGGAATGACCATTGTTGTCAAATCCCCAAGGGGCTATCATGTTAAAAAGACATGATTTTGGAAGGCTCTTATCAGCACAATGAAAAGATACATGAAGGACAGTTTTTGGCTTTGTATATAAACTAACAACCAGAGCTTTATCAACCTGGAGGGAGCTGTCTCTTCCAGGAGGTGTTAGAGTAGACTGAATGTCCACTTGTGAGGGCGTACTGACTGGCTGCTTCATGTCCTGGATGAGGAGCTGGACTAGATGGGATTGTGATTCTCTGAGGTGAAAATCCAATAGTTTTCTCTACCTCAATTCTCCTCCTCCTCTTACTGGCTTTGGAGACAGGGGTGGGGCCTTGTTGCAGTATCTCCATTTCCTTCTGCAGCAGGAGAAAAAGGAGGCTCCTGTTCTCCAAGAAGAAGCAGGCAAGAAGGAATCATTGCAGTCAGGTGGGTTTTGCAGGCGTCTTGCTTGGTAGGGAGTTAGGGGACAGCAGAAGGTGACTAACCATTGCTCTTCTTCTCTCCCTTACCTCCAGAGCAACAGCTGGCCCAGTTGACACAACAGCTGGCCCAGACGGAACAACACCTGAACAATCTGATGGCCCAGCTGGACCCCCTTTTTGAGCGGTAAGGAGAGCAGTGTGTGGCAGGTGAGAAGTGGGGACATAGACTGGGCAGCCTCTGAGGGGACCTATCCACAGGGTGACTACCCTGGCTGGAGCACAGCAGGAGCTTCTGAACATGAAGTTACACACCATCCACCAGCTGCTACAAAAGAACAAGCCCAGCAAGGATGTGGAGGTTCCAGAACCAGGTAACAGGCTGGGGTTGAAAGTCTGGTGGCGGTAGAGACAAAGTGTCAGAAACTGGGACATACCTGATCTTCCCCTCACAGAGGCGAGCATGCCCTTTCCTGAGGACTCATGCATGAAGGAGGAGGAGGAGGACGCTGGTGACAGTCAGTCTTGGGAAGAGCCCCTACACTGGAGCACAGAGACAAGGAACCTAGCTACTCCGTGGGGAGTGGAGCAGGGGCTAAGGAGAAGATGCAGCAAGGCTGTGGCAAAGGGCCCCAGTCCCAGCCCCCTCTGGGAAGGAGGGACGACAGCTGAAGGCTTAGTAAAACCAAGTCTGTTCTTGTGATTGGATGCTCCTGTGTGCTTTTTCCATTCCAGCTGGTCACACACACACCCATACTAGGTGCCTAAGAACAACTGGCCCTTCTTGGAAAGCTTCCCTTATTAGGGCAAAAAGATGCTGCCTCCCAGTGTGAGAGCCGAGGAGATAGAGGGAGCTCCAGTTCCTTTCCTTGTACTCCTGAGGCCCCGTCATGCCAGCCTCCAGGCACAAACTTCCCTCTTCTCATATCACACAGCTGAAACAGGCCTTTCCAAAAAAACAAAAAAAACTTTACTTAAATCCAGTGGGAAAATAAAACTATAAAAATAGCCACATTTGCAAAGCCATAGCCTTGATAAACGACTGGCCATAGACATAGCACCAAGCTCGTCAGCCCCAAATCCCCTCTTCTGTGCTGGAGGGGCTGGTTCAGTGGAGGTTCAAATGGGTCAGTCTTGGTTTCCTGATTCTTAAGAGCTGGTCAAATAACCCAGTCCCAGGCAAACACAAAGTGACCCTTCTCAAACCAGGAAGGGTTCTGTGTTTTGTTTAGTTTTGTGCTCCTGACCCTGACCTATCCCTGAAGTATCTTGGGTCCTGGAATTCATAAGATTCTTCTAGTTCTTCTGGCTGCTGTGGAGAGAAGACAGTTCAGGTATTGGCATGAGCATGCTATTCATACTCTCATCAACTAGGGGATAGGGGTGGTGGGGTGGTGTCCCACAGATGTAGGACATGAGACAGGACCAGAACTGCTCATCTCCTGCTCCTGGGCCTCATCACAACACTTACCAAGGAAAGAGACAACCTACCTGATGGCCAAAGTCAGACTGTGGTACCAGCGCAGCAGCTCCTCCCGGTCCGTGGACATCAGCAGCAGCTTCTCATGAGGAAAGGACAGCTGGGGAGAGACCACCTCTTAAAGCATGGCTCAGAAAGGTCCAGGCTAAAGCTCAAGGCCTTGCTGCTCCCATGGGGGTCGTTCAGGACTCATGTAAGAACTAGATATGAACCCAAAGACCCAGTTATGCTCTCTCAATGTAGCTGGCCCAATTCCTAAGAAAAGGGTCCAGGCCAAGGAGATAAACGGGGGCATAGGTATTTGAGGCATATGTTCGGCCTCTCCTACCTGACCTAGGACCCCCATCTTATTACTTACACTGAGCAGTCCACCACAAGGGCCCCCCGAGTGTCCAAAGACCCTTTGGAGTTGACACTGGGCCATGGGGTAGACGGCCCGGCAGAGAAAGGTGCCACTCTGCAGCAGGTGCAATGGGGGTCGAGGCTTGGCCAGGACAAGCACGTCAGAGAACAGGAAGAACATTCGGGGCCGAGGTTCCCCACGGGGAGGCACCACCAACAGCCAGCCCTGGCGTAGGAACCAGCGACCTGGGGGATGGGAGAGCTGTTATTCTGATGCAACTCCAGGACCATGCTCCGAGGGCATAAAAGAAAAGGGAGGCTGAGGAAACTGGGTATGTGAGTAAGAAAAGGGCAGATTGAAGGCTTAGGGGGAAGGATGCAGACTACCTGAGGTGAGCCCCTTTGCCTGGCGGCCGCTGAGAAGGACCTGCACACGCCGGAGGTGCTGGTCATTCTTCTGTTTCTGACCAATGGTGTGAACTCTCTGGGCAGTCTCACTTATCAGCCGCGCAGCCCCTGGAATAACAGCCCAACCCCATTCCCAGCACATCTGTGACTCTGGGGACTGGCTACTCCCTAGGGACCCAGGGTTAGGGTCTAACTTGTTGAAGAGCAGGCAGGACAACGGAACATCACGTACATGTCAAAGGAAGACAGGGTCATACCAGACATTGTTGGAGGTCACAACCCAAAAGGGATACAAGAAAGGCAGCCTTCTGTCTCTGAGTTTTGGCAGAGCAAGAACATACGTGTGAGCTGTTGGTGGTCAGGGCTGTTGGGACTTGTGTTTTCAGCCAAAGCAACAACGAGATTTTCATACCTAGAATTAGACAGGTGGAAGTCTATGAGGGGACGTAGAGCTGGGAAAAATTCCCTCTGCCTGACACACTCATAACCCCTTACACGTACTTCCACTGCAAAGCCAGGAAAGATCTGCTCTGGCTTGGTATCCCCTCTTTCAAAACCTGGGCTCACACCACATCACCCTTTCCCATCCCACATGGAAGAGTCAGGGGCAGACTCTTCAGAAATTCTAAACTGGACCAGGCTCTCATCTCAGCAAACTCTTCCAAATACCGTGCCACTAGCCCGTTACAAGCCCCCGAGCTTCAACGTAGAGTTCCACAGTCCCAGCTAAGGGCCTGAGGCTGCAGACTCCAGGTACTCCAGTGGATTCTCGTCTACTCTTGCAAAAAGGATTTTAGGAGCAATTTGTCCCAGGAGAGAGGCATTGGGACAGACCCCATGAGTCCCACAAAGGTGAGGGACTCAGGAAAGAGAAGCTGGCTGAGTCAGGGAGAGTTCACTCACTGCTGAAGCCTCTGCAGAGGCAAAGGGAGCAGGTCCTGGAGCTGAAGGCCCCCAAACTCAGGGCGGCCTTCCTGAAGCCTCACGAACCTCCGGAAACGCTTGCTTTTCTTTAGTTGTTCCTGGAGTGAGGGGAGAGGGTTGGCAGCAGAGGGAGAAGCCACTCCTTACATTGTATTCACCTGCGTACACATCCCCAGCCCTCAGCAAGCTGTGTGCTCCTGAGAGAACCCCTGTCTCCCTACAGGGAACTTAGCACAGAACTGTGCACATGCAGGGACAGATGGAGAAGAAATGTATTGGGCAGGAGAGGAAGGACTTGAGGTCACCTTCAAGTTACCTGCAGGGTGGTCTGGGACCTCTCTGCGTTGGCAGCAAATTGGGTGTAGAGCTCCAGGTGGGGGCAGAAGCCCTCCAGCCCCTGCCCCCAGTGCCCTCCTTCCAGGTAGGGAAGCAGCTCTCTGCGTGGGTGGGGACAATAACAGAGCTGCCAAAGAACTGCCCAAGCACCGCATTTCATTCCTTTACCCCTGACCCATGGGTAGTGCTGTTACCCCATTTTACAGATGGAGAACTGGGGCACTGGGCCAAGACCACAGGTGAGGCCACTGCCATGCTCGGAATATGAACCTGGATCTCTCGGTGCGGTGCCAGAAGCCGAGGCGCCCCCTCCTTCCCTCTCCCCACGCCCCTTCCACTCACTGGCTGGCGCCGTAAATGAGCTCCCAGGGCCCAAACAGGGCCTGGCGCTCCGGTGGTCGCAGGGTGCCCTTGGCTCTCAGAATCCCCAGGAAGTACTGCGGAGAGAGAACACCGCCAAGGCGCGGCTGGAATGTGCAAAAGTCTGCCCGGCCCCCAGTGCAGGAGGACAGAGCAAGACCCCGTCCTCGGGATCGCCGACCTCGCAGAGGCCCTCCCACACCCTGGGCTCCCCTCCCACACCCTGGGCTCCCCGCCCCGTTCGAGAGGACACTCGGGGCCCCCACCGTGGCCACCAGCCCCAGCTGCTCCTGGTAGCGCCGCTCGGTCTCCAGCAGTTCCCGGGCGGTGCAGGCGCGTTTCCGCTCCCAACGGGCACGCTGCTCTTGCACGGGGCACCGGGCCCTGGGGCCCGGGTTCTCCATGACTAGCTGACCCGTGGACATTTCCGGCCACAGCCCGCGGAGATTCAAATGCCAACCGCTCAGGGGCGGGGCAGCGTGGAGGAGCGCGCCCCCTGGCGCCGGGAGGCTACGCGCAGGACGGAGCATGCGCGGCGGCCTGCCAAGCAGCGTCTCGTCTCCGCTAGGGCCTCGCCCCACCGCCAGGGCGGCGCTGTAGGTACGTGACGTCCGTCGGAGTACAGCCGAGTGGGGCAGGTGAGTGACTCTCCTGAGTGGATCTAATTTGGGCAGCAGCCTAGCCTAGACTTTGAGCCAGCTGACTTCGGGGTGCAGACACTGGCAGGGCCTGTGTCCTATCGGTAGAATTGGGAAAGGCGCAATAGTTACAGTACATCTTCGGTAAGGGGCCCATGCCAGACGCTGGGGTTCAGTCGTTTCCAATGCTTCTTTACAATTAGGAACTCTCACAAGTCAAAAAGTTTGAAATATTTTGGCCTCTGGACAAAACTTTATAGGTTTTGCCCGGCCGGCGTGGCTCAGTGGTTGAGTGTCTACCTATGAACCAGGAGGTCACGGTTTGGGCACGGGTTGCAGGCTCAACCCTAGTGTGGGGTGTGCAGGAGGCAGCCAATCAGTGATTCTCTCTCTTCATTGATGTTTCTATCTCTCCCCCTTACTCTCTAAAATCAATAAATATATTTTTTAAGAAAGTTTATAGGTTTTAAGTTACTAACTTTGTTTCTTATTCCAAAACTTACGGCCAGTTAGCTTCCAGTCAGCAGGTGTCAATAACGAACACAATGGTTCTGAATTGCTTAATTATGGCTAAAGGCAAAAGCCTGCAGTTGATTAGCCTGTGATACCTAGTGTACCAGATTTTCCTTTTTTAGCTCTGGAGGGTCAATTGGCAGTGCCGTTGTCAGTATATATTCGAAACTTTAAAGTGTGCCTCTCTTATTGCCTAGCAGTGCATTCTAAAGAAGTAGATATGGCCGAAAACCGGTTTGGCTCAGTGGATAGAGCGTTGACCTGCGGACTGAAAGGTCCCGGGTTTGATTCCGGTCAAGGGCATGTGCCTTGGTTGCGGGCATATCCCCGGTGGGAGATGTGCAGGAGGCAGCTGAACGATGTTTCTAACTCTCTATCTCTCTCCCTTCCTCTCTGTAAAAAATCAATAAAATATATTAAAAAAAAAAAAGAAGTAGATATGTGGACAAAATTATATGTGCCAAGATGTGAAGCACAACATTGTAACAACAGATAACCTAAATGTCCAAAGGTAGTAAATTGGCTAGGAAAAATGTGGTACAGCCATTTGAAGGAATAATATGAAAGCATTAAAATGATGTTAAAAAGCTATCAATATGGGGAAAGGTACATAGTGTATTACTGAGAGAAAAAAGCAGACTATACAGCTGGTTGCACAAGATGATTTTATTTATGTATAATATATATGACTAGGATAAAACAGTGGTTTTTATCTCTGGTGATGAGATTGAGAATAATTCATTCAACAGATATTTATTAAGCACCTACTCAGTGCCAGGTCCTGGATCATTGAGATTAAAGGGGTGAATAGGACTTTTCTGCCTTCCTAGGTTTTCTGCTTGAGCGTGCATGCATTACTTTGTAATCAGAAAAAAAATATATTAAAAACTCAGGTTTTAGATAGACTTTGGACCCCCATGCCTATTATCCTGGATTCCTAGGAATCTGGGCCCCACGCCAAGAACCAGGTTACTGTCAGGGACCTGAGGTCTCCTCTAGCTCTCTGACATTCTAAAAATTCCAAGAAAGGAAAAATGCTGGTCTTAGATCAGGGAGAAACAGCTTGATGGGCTTGGTGGAGGAAAGAGAGAGTTTGGGTCAGACTGTACCTTGGAATGGATTCCAAGGAGACTGGTGAGACCGTATAGTGGGAAGCCTGGTCTCAGGAGAATGTGGGACGGTTTGCACTAAGATCTCAAGTGAGGACGGGGACAGATATTCCCATGGTGACTGGTATCACGTGAGCCCAGTTGATGAGAACACAGCACAGCACCTTGGGGTGCAGTGGTGGTGGGTGAGTTTGGGTGTGCTGCCAGTGTGTGAGGGTGCTTTATAGAGCCTACTGTGAGCTCAAGCAGGGGAGGAAGAAGAGGGAAATGTCGAGAAGACACACTGAGTATAATTAGAGACAACTGATTTCCTGGAGACCACGTCTCCCCCAGAGCAAGTCAGGCACACCCCAAAGTCTACCTGGAACAGACAGACTCTCTACTCCCAACTCAATCCCCAAAGCCAAAGGAAGGCAGGACCAGTGGGAGAAGGTCAGAAGGCAGCCACCACCTCTCTATTCTTTAATTACCCTCAACCTCTGCTTTCAACTCACTGGATGCTGGAGAAGCCCTAGTGATGCTTTGAACAATAATTATCAGTTATTGCACAAGAGTTAAATGCCTCTTATATGCCACATCCTGTGCTAGGCATGGAGATGAAACAATGGATAATGAAATACGGCCTCTGCTGTTATTGATGCTGGGAGGCTAGCATGGCAGACATGATAAGGAGTCGCCATAAAGTGAGATAAACATTACAAAAGATGTATAGGCTTTTATGCAGGCAGGAGTGACCCCATCTAGGAGTCAGGGAAGGCTTCTTGGAGGAAGTAACAATGTGAATTGATACCTGAAGGATGAGCAAAACCTGGTGGGGCAGGGTTGGCAGTAGAGTAGAGGTGAGAGAGACAAACAGCATGAACCAAGTTTGGAGATAACACACACACAGTGCATTCAAGGAACTGCTAGAAGTTCAGTAAGATTAGAGCATAGATTGCAAAGGAGAGAGTGATGAAAAAGGAGACTGGAGAGAGGCCAAGCCATGGAGGGAATTTATACCAGCAAGACTATGTCATAAGTAATAGTAAACTCAAAGTGGCTAAACGATAAGATATTTTATTAGCTTATGCAACTGAAAAGTCCAGATGCAGGTAGGGTTAGCTTAATCCAGCAACTCAATAATATCACCAAGGATGTAGGATGTTAATTAGGCAGGTGCTTATGGATCTGATGTGGAGAAGAGAGTCCAACCCCGGGATACTTGTCTGTCATGACCTTGTAGAAACCATGGAAGTGGAAGAAACTGCCTACAAAGACTATGAAGAGGGATGAGGGCAGAAGGCATGAGACTTCCCAACACCAACCCATTTCTTCTCATCCTGTGCTAAAAATGGCTAATATCAGTTCTAAATGGCTAATGTCATAGTGGGCTAAATGGTGGTCCCCATAAAGATATGTCCATACCCTAACCCCAGCAGCCTGTGATGATGAACTTATTTGAAAAAGGGGTCTTTGCAGATGTAATTAAGCTAAAAATCTTGAAATACGATCATTCTGGGTTACCTTGGTGGACCCTAGCCAATGACGTGTTCCTAAAAGAGGCACCAGTGGGGAGACAGGGAGAAGGCCCTGTGAAGTTGGAGGCAGTGATTGGAGTTATGCAGCCGCAAGCCACGGAATTCCTGGAGCCGCCAGAAGCTAGAAGAGGCTCTAAAGCTTTCAGAAGGAGCAGGGCCCTGCCAACACTTTGATTTCGGATTTCTGGCTTCCCGAGAGAGAGAAATTCTGTTGTTCTGAGCCACCCAGTTGGCGGTAGTTTGTCACAGAAGTCCTATGAAATCACACAGGTGATGAGGTCGGCGGCCTCAAGGCCCCAGAGGGCTTTGATCTGTCTCTGCTTCTAATCCATGGCCGGGAGCGGGAGGCTTTTCCTCCTCCCACCAGCGAGTAGCTCCCTCCTTGCGAACAGACCCTAATGACCGAACACTTGGCCTTAACTAAGGTTGTGCACCAGGTCGGGGGGGGGGGGGGGGGGTGCCCCAGTCGATCAGTCCTGAGTACACTCTGTCCCAACCTGGGGAGGCTCAGGGAACAAGACTCTGGGAGCTCAAACTTGTTTTGGAGTTTGGCAGACTCCCAGCTGGGAAGGTACGATCCCAGGTCACAGTCCACATTCCCCACCCAGACCAAAGACACAGTCACACACAGAGACAGGGAACTCAAGAGAGAGGCAGCACCATGCAGAATGGCATTGGGAAAGTCAGGGAGCTATAACAAAGAGAGATCTGCACCTGGACACAGCTCTGGACTCTGAACTACTGAGAGAGAGCAGCAGAGAGGGCAGGGAGATGTGTGGACACACAGAATGGCACAGAGAAATATGCAAAGAGATCCTGACAGAGACCTAAAAAGGAAAAAGATGGAAACATTCAGACTATTTGGAAAGGGGGAAAATGAAATAAAGCTGGGGTTAGTGTTGAAGAAAGATGTCCAGACGTAAGGACCCCAGACTCCAGTTAGCATGGTGTTTCTGTCTCCTGTGCTTCCCAGAACCTCTCCGCCTCAACTAGATTACTTGTTTCCACACTCCATCTTGTCCAGGTCCATTCAATTTAGATATTCCCATGGGCCTCCCATGTATCAGGGGCCAACCAGGGTGCTGACAACACAGCTGACCAAGTCAATGAGGTGACCATCCAATGTGCACACTGGATCAAATTGCCATCGATGGAGGGCTCTTAATTTGGCTCCAGAAATGGCAATCTAGATGGTTAGACTAATTACTTTCTAAAATGACTGCTTCAAGAACAGCTGTTGTTCAGCCATGTAAGCTTTTGGTATACAGTATAGCAGTCACTCTGACAAGGCATAAAATGGGGTGCCATAAAAATGTGGTATCATAAAAAGCATGAGATCCTGGGGACGAGGAGAGCCTAAGGCCTTAGACTTAAGACCATAGAACTTAGCTCCTTTAGCTAAGCTCCTCTGACCCCCAAAATGCCTTCCAAAATTAAAAAAAAAAATGTGGTATCATGTTCCTGGAACAGTTGCGGTTCAACATGCACAGGTTATTGACGAAGAGCTCCTTTCCCTGAGGGCAAGGAAGTCAGCTTAGTCAATTTGGTTTTCTCAAGTCCAGGCAAGGTGATCTGCAGAGAGAAAAATGCTCAATAATGACTATTGAATAAAAGAATGACTCAATCAATCAAATACTGAACCCTGCCTTTATGGAGCTAAGGTATTAGAACAGATAAAGCATCATAAATCATCTTAATATGAATAAGATGGTGGGCAAGGTTATTAGCGAGGGCAGGCTGTGGTGGCTGAGGCACCAGAAATCTCTTCCTTTAGTGCAGAGTTAATCAAGAAAGACTTCCTGGAAGAAGTGGCCTTTGAGCTGAGCCTTGAATAATAGAAGGGATTTAGACAGGGGAGATAGTAAAACTATTTAACATGGTAGTGTGTGCACAAACACTGATCCATCTGAGTGGAAGCTGGCTCAGGCATTCTAGTGGGTTCTGGAGCCCTGCTGTGATAAGAGGTCATGAGGGGGTTGGGAGAGTCCCCAGGAAGGAGTTGGGGTAGCAGGAGCACTCTGGAGTGAGGGGCTAGTTACCAACAGAATTAGAAATATTTCAATATATTTAATTACCTTTTACAATCACACAGATGCACAATACCTACCGAATGTTAATTTCAGATATCAACCTCCTGTGATGGCCTTACTCTGATTTGCTTTGTTGAAGCCATAGGGGCCTTACTACAGTGTGAGCTACAGAACAGTAGAGGCTGTTTCCAGTCCAATGCTGTATCCCTAGGGCCTAGAACAGTACCTGGAGGATTGGAGGAGGGTCAATAAATGTTCGTTAAATGAGTAGGCAGAGACTGGGAACCCCAAGCCCATATTGGGGTCCTCTCATTTGTCTCCTAGCACCCACTCTCCCCCTCCAATCCATGCTCCACACCAGTCCTCAACATGACCTAATATGGGAATTGCATTCTGTCATTCTCCCAAAATATTTGATGCCTCCTCCCCTTTGCCCAGAATACCATCCTCCCCATCGTTATTACCGAATTGAACTTCTACTTCTTCACAGCCCTGACCGAATCTTCCTACTTCTGCATTACCTTCTGAGGCAGAATCCATCTCTCTCCCCTAAATCTTGTGGTAGTGTTTGCTCTCACTCCCTGGACATGAGCTCCTCAGGACAGCAGCTGTGTCTTAGTCATACTTCTAGCCCAGTGCCTGACATATGTTATATGCTAAATCAATATTTGTTACCTATAAGAGTGAATGGCTGCCCTGGCCAGTGTGGCTCAGTTGTTTGAGCATCTCCTGGTGCACTTGAAGGTTGCCGGTTTGATTCCCAGTCAGGGCACATGCCTGGGTTGCGGGCTTGATTCCCAATAGGGGGCATACAGGAGATAGCCGATCAATGATTCTCTCTCGTGGATGGTTCTATCTCCCTTCCTCTCTCTCTAAAAAATCAATGACATATTTTTTAAAAATCAATTAAAAAATTTTTTTTAAAGCGTGAATGGCAGGCATTCCCAGTAGTGAGAACTATATGAAGGAAGGCGGTCATTTTGGGAAAAAATGAACGGTTTAATTTGGCTGGAATATGATGGACAGTAGGAAGAAATGAGATGGGAAGGTATCTTGGGTAAGATTTTGCAGGGATGTGGAAGTCAACTAGAGAGAGAAGATGGGCAGATGGAAGATACTTTGATAGACCGTAGGAAGTCAATGAAAGTTTTTGAGCAGAGGTGTAATATGATGAAAAACAAATTTACTTTATACCCATCAGAGTCCCTCTCATACAAATACTGTTTTCCATTCATACTCAAATTAACCCCCCACCTACCCATCCACCCCCCTCCCAGAACTCCTGCGGCAGCTTGCCCTACCCCTTCACCAGCTCCCTGGCTGGGCAGGGGATGCACACATGGTCTGCTCCCCTCTCCCTGTCTTTCCCCTTCCCTGCTTGGGGCTGGGAGGCAGGCCAGGGTTAGCTGAGGCTGGCTGGCAGGCAGCCTGGTGGTGCCAGGGAAGCCTGCGCAGTGCCAGGTGGTGCCTTAAGTTCCAGGCTTACACCATGACCCCGATAACCTTGTGCCTACGCACACACCTGCCCTCACTCCACCCCAATCCGGGCCATGGTATGGAGGAGGGGGCACAGGGCCAGGCAGAACGGAGGGACTTTGGCTCCATCTCTACAAAAGGGAACTCTGTGAGTCAGCCTGCTCCCCTCCAGGCTTGCTCCTCCCCCACCCAGCTCCTGTTTCCAATGCACGTACACCCCGTACACACCGTGTCTGGGACACCGTACAGTCAGCCACATGGCTCCCCTGGGCCCCAGTCCCTGGCTCCCTCTGCAGATCTCAGCTCCTGCTCCAGGCCCCACTGTGCATCTGCTGCTGTTACTGCTGCTCTTGGTACCTACCCATCCCCAGCGCCTATCCCGGATGCAGGGGACTCCCTCCATGGGAGGAGATTCATCTGGGGAAGATGATCCACTGGGCGAGGAGGACCTGCCCAGTGAAGAGGATCTGCCTGCAGAGGAGGACACGCCTGGAGTGAAGACTGAAGCAGAAGAGGACTCTCTGAAGGTAGAGGATCTACCCACTACGGCTCCCGGGGACACTCACAGGAACAACAAAGGTAAGTGGTCGTCAGCCCTCCAAAGCTAGGCTCCAGGAGGTGTGTGCTTCCTTTCCCCAAACTCCCGCCCAGGCAGGGATTGTTCAGGGGAGAGGAGCCCGCTCCTTTCCCAACCCCAGGGTTCCGGTGATACCAGACCCTTTCCCCTTTCAGAGCTAAAAGAGGATGGTGGGGAGACAGGAATGAGGCACAGATGGAAAGAGATAGTAGGAACGAAAGGGGAAGGTTGGAGAGGAGAAAGATACTAGAAACATGAAAAGAGAGAAAACGTAGGTAGGGAGGAGTAAGTGTATGAGGGGAGCGAAGAGGAAAGAGGGGGGCTCTGGGGGAAGCGCAGGAGGGCTTGTGGAGGTCACCTCATCCTCAGTTTGCAGGTGAGGAAACAGACCTGGGAAGAAGGAAGTAGCCAGTAGGGGCCCTGGCACCTTGACTCTCAAGCCAGGAACTTGGGGAAAAGAGTTGGAGACCAGAAAGGGAAGGGGGATGAGTGGGGAGGAGGGACAGGTAAGGGAGAAAGGAAAGATGCTCTACTGATTTGGGCCTGGGACTGAGCCCCCCCCCCCCCCCCCCTTTTCTTACACCTTTTTTTTTCCCCCCCCCCCCCCCATTTTACTAACACAGTGGCTGCAAACTGGAGGGCCCTTAGGATCTCAGCTTTAGGCATTTCTGTTCCCTGCTATGCCTCTGTAAGGCGTCTGGGTTTGTGAAGCCCGGCTAGTGGGGGCGCCCACCTCGTTCTGGCCAGCGGGGAGGGTCTGGGCTCAAAGATCGCACTCCTAACCCTTCTCATTCATGCAGGGGATGACCACAGTCATTGGCGCTATGGAGGTGAGACAACCGCCCCGCCCGCACAGACCCCATCTGGGCACCCACGCCTGCTGATCTGACCCCCAACCATAACTCTAGTCCTGGGCGTCCCACCCACCGCATCCACATCTGCCCGTCCCGACACCCGATTTCTATTTCCCGCCCCAGTGTCTTCAGACTCCACCTCCTCACTTTTTCTATCCCACTGCCCTCAAAGCTCCTGATCTTATCACTAGACTCCTGTGCATACTCCTACCACAGGCGACCCGCCCTGGCCCCAGGTGTCCCCAACCTGCGCCGGCCGCTTCCAGTCCCCGGTGGACATCCGCCCGGAGCACACGGCTTTTTGCCCCGCCCTGGGACCCCTGGAACTCCTAGGCTTTGAGCTCCCGCCTCTCCCCGAACTGCGCCTCCGAAACAATGGCCACACCGGTGAGGCGGGCCGGGGCGGAGCCTTAGGGAAGGGGCGGGGCTCCCTGGTTCTCTGGGCACAGTCCCCGCCGTGCTTGGGGACGAGGCTGGCTCTCGGGGCGCTGAGCCCACTCACCGGCTCACCGGCTCTCCCTCGCAGTGCAGCTGACTCTGCCTCCCGGGCTGGAGATGGCCCTGGGTCCCGGGCGGGAGTACCGGGCCCTGCAGTTGCATCTGCACTGGGGGTCTGCGGGTCGCCCCGGCTCGGAGCACACGGTTGGCGGCCACCGTTTCCCTGCCGAGGTGAGCGTGCAGCTGTCTGCAGCGGGGCGAAGGGGGGCGCTGGCGAGCGAATCTTGCCCATTCCTACCACCTGTCCTCCTGTCCTCTCCAGATCCACGTGGTTCACCTCAGCACTGCATTTGCCAAAGTTGAGGAGGCCTTGGGGCGCCCAGGGGGCCTGGCCGTGCTGGCCGCCTTTCTGCAGGTACGAGCCCTGGACGTCCCCCACACCGTCCTCCCCATGCCCCCAGGCTCAGTGTATTTGCCCCATCCCAGCACACTCACCCTGGCACCTGCTTATCCTCATTCACTCATTAGTTCATTCATTCAACGCCACTGTGAGGGAGGCACTGGGCCTAACAAAGGATTCGAAACCGTGGGTCCTTGTCTCTATGAGTTCACAGCCAGTGACGGCGGCCCACAGGTAGACATACACCAAGGACAGAGTAAAAGAGGTGGTCAGGGAAGGCTTCTCGGAGGAGGTGAAACGTGAAGACTTCACTAGTGGGAAAGAAAAGATGTTCATGCAGAGCAAATGGTATGTGCAAAGACTCAGAATATGGCCCACTCAGGGAATGACAGATGCAATAAAGGGGACATCACGAGGAGTGATTTCTTTAATGCCCCTATAACAATAATACCCCCTTTGTGAAATGCAATCAAGTCTAGAGGAACATTCAGTGACCTCTTTTCTTTGGACCTGTAATGATTAAGGCTACATACACAGTGATTAGAGGAAGCTGGTAAAATGAAGAGACGTTGAGACACGTGCTAGGCTCATTCACACCCTAACTGACTCCTTAATGCCAACCTCAAAGTACAAAGTTCAGAGAAGTGGCTCAGAAAGAACATGTCCTTGCTCCAAGTCAATCACATGAATTATTAAGGTGAATGTAGAGGTAACATGAGTACAAAGGTCGTTATGGTTTTCAGGAGTGGGGCCCAGGTCATGAAGGCCTTGTGTCTTAGTGACCCACCCTCCTCCACCTCCTCTTCCGATTTGCTATTGCAAACCAGCCTGCAGCGCTTGTTGGGTTAGTTTGCAGAGTAAGTCAACTCTGAGTAATAATGCCTAAGATTTTGTGTTTCCCCCAGCATTCTCAGAGCTGAGAAATGAGGGAGGACTCTGGGAACCCCACCTCACCTTCAGGCCGCTAGACATGGCCCAGATGCATGTATTACCTTCCTGCACTGTCATCTCCTAGGAAGGCCCAGAAGAAAACAGCGCCTATGAGCAGCTGCTGTCTCATTTGGAAGAAGTCGCCGAGGAAGGTATGCAGATGGGCTCTCTCCCACAGGCAGAGGGTTGATGTGTGAACTGGACGACTATGATCTTGATAATAGCTATGAAGTTGAACAGAGGCAAACACGCAAAAGCAAAGTTCCGCCCACAGGTTTTATGGTTTAAAACCAAACACTGAATAAAAAACCAAAATAAGGCAAAAACCAAATAAGACCAAAAACAAAAATGTGTTTGGAACTTCTGGAGTTGAGTCTGGGGAGCTCAAATTTTTCTGAGAACTATCTATTCTTCATAAGCATCACATATTTTTATATTTATTTATTTATTATTTTTTATTGAAAGGCTGCATGGCTTGGAAGTTCATTTGTAGCCAAGAGTCCTCAGGTCCCCACAGGGAGCCAGAGATGGTGTGGAGCTATGGAAGTCAAAGAGGAAGGGAGAGGGAGAGAGAGAGATAGAAACATCAATGATGAGAGAGAATCATTGATCGGCTGCCTCCTGCACGCCCCACACTGGAGGTTGAGCCTAAAACCCGGGCATGTGCCCTGACCAGGAATCGAACCTTGACCTCCTCCTGGTTCATAGGTCAATGCTCACCCACTGAGCCATGCCGGCTGGGGAAGCATCACATATTTTAAATATGTAAATACTTTCGTTGGAAATCTTTTTCTTCTCAGTCATTCTGGGTCATTTTGAATCTCACCCAGCTGGATGTTAAGTTTTGCTAAAATACAAGGAGCTGTGCTTTTTCAGTTTTTGTGTGTGTTTTTTTATGGTTATTTATATTTATTTAGAAGTTATTCAGCTCATTTTCCTTTTTTTATTTTCTCTGAGCTTCACTGTGTGGTCCAGCATGTACCATAGTAGGCAAAGTGAGAATGAAGACTCAGAGGGAGCAACTAAGGCGCAATTCTCTCCCTGTGCGCGGCTCCAGAGCCCTTCGCTTTCTCCTGAGTTGTCTTGTGCTGAGTTTGGGGAAGGGATGCACTTAGTGAAGAAGTGGTCTCAGGGAACTGAGTCAACGTGGCTTCCGCGATATGAAACTGTTTCCCTATCCCTATACCCAGAGCTTTGGAGGGGGGCCATCTAGGTGAGATTCCAGCACAGGTCCTCTCCGCAGACTCAGAGACTTTGGTGCCAGGACTGGACGTATCTGCACTGCTGCCCTCGGATCTCAGCCGCTACTTCCGATATGAGGGGTCTCTGACCACACCCCCCTGTGCCCAAGGGGTCATCTGGACTGTTTTCAACCAGACAGTGAGACTGAGTGCTAAGCAGGTGGGGCTGGAACGTGTGGGGATGTGGGGATGTGGGGGAAGGGGTGTAGAAAGAGGAGGCATAAAGAAAGGGCGGTATGGGAGAGAGGGGGCATGGAGCGTGGAGACCTGAGGTACTGTCTGTGAATAGGCCTCTGATCCGCTTCCTTGTCTTGGGCCCTCCTTCCACTGCCTAATGACCTCCATAGCTCCACACCCTCTCTGACTCCCTGTGGGGACCTGAGGGCTCTCGGCTACAGCTGAACTTCCGAGCCACGCAGCCTCTGAATGGGCGAACGATCGAGGCCTCCTTCCCTACTGGAGTGGAGCGGACTGTTGAGACTGTTCAGCCAGGTGCGGCTTTGTCTGGTACCCCATGTCACTGCTGCCCAGCCCAGGTCTCGCATCCTCCCCTGTGCCCTCATTTGTCCGTCACTGGTGGTCACAGCCCCGGCTCTAATGTCTCCCTTTTCTCTTCAGTCCACCTGAACTCCTGCCTCGCTGCTGGTGAGTCTGCGCCTCTCCTCTGGCTCCTGACGCTGGGGACAACCCTTGGCACAGTTTAGTCCCAGGGACTAGTCAGGACCACGTCTACTGCCCTTCCTTTTCTGCAGAACAGACCTCCAAACCCAACAGGATAGCGTGTCAGATCATGGTGGGGGGTCCTTTATTGTCCCCCACGGCAAGAGTTGTTCAGAATGAAGCTCCAAAAATCTAGCATGTCTTTTTCCCAAATGACCTCTTTTACTTCACTTTTAGGGAGAAAAAAAGGTGGTTATTTTCCCCATTCATCTCCATCCCTTTGCTGGTCTCTTCTAGATTCTGATATGCTGGGGGCAGCTGGAGAACTTAGGGCTGGGCTGGGGATACAGGCATAGGGAAGTAGGCCCTGAGGGGACCCTACTGGCTCTCACACCCTGAGGCAGTCTCTCCTCTCCCTACAGGTGACATCCTGGCCCTGGTTTTTGGCATTCTCTTTGCTGTGACCAGCCTTGCCTTTCTTGTGCAAATGAGAAGGCAGCAAAAGTATGTATTGTACTGACCCTGTCCCTCAGGCACAACCCCCACTTCCTGTGTGGAGTCCAGAACAGCTTCATGCAAATTGCACAAATGAGCTGGCCCTGGGCCAGTTTTCTGATTAGGCTTCCCTGTCGTGTAGACATCCAAGTGGGACCAAAGGGACCGTTAGCTACCATCCAGCAGAGGTCACCGAGACTGTGGCCTAGAGGCCTGGAACTTGGAGAATGTGCCGAGAAGCCAGCCAGAGGAATCTGAGGGGAGCTGGAGACTTGGGTCTGTCCTGCCTATTACACCACTTCCTTTTTAGTCACCAAAGATTTTTTTAAAATAAATGTTTCTAATAAAATATGTGGAAGGTAGCTTTGTTCCCCAAATCAGGATAGTCTATCCATTTCCTACTGCTGCTATAACAAATTATCACCCTCTCAATGGCAATGTGAATTTATTCACTTAGACTTCTGGAGGTGAGAAGTCCAAAATGAATCTTAAGGGCTAAAGTCCAGGTGTTGGCAGGCCTGGGCATTGATTAGAGAGTGTTTCCCTGCCCTTTTCAGCTTCTGGAAGCCACACATTCCTTGGCTTGTGGCCCCTGCATCACATTGCTCCATTGTCACATCTCCCGCATCCACTTTTGACCTTTTTGCCTCCCTCTTCTAAGGACCCTGGTGGTTACATGGGGCCTATTCAGATAACCCAGGGTGACCGCCCCATCTCAAACATCTTAGCTGACTCACAAGGTCCCTTTCCCATGCAAAGTCACATTTCACAAGATTAGGGTGTGAACATCTTTGGTGGTGGGGGGTCATCTGCTATCAGGAAGGGGGCAGAAATTACTGAGGTTGTTGAAATGGTCGTGTGTGTGTGTGTGTGTGTGTGTGTGCACGCGCACGCACATGTATGTGTATGTAGACCAGTGTATGTAACTGGGAGTAGGGTAGGCTCAGCGTCTAAGCTTAAAATCACATTGAGGCTTTGGGGCTTTCTCCTGCTCAAGTAAATTCTGTGTAGCTTTGCAGTTTTGTCTTCAGCTTATGTTGCCTGGCTCAGGCACCTGCTGGAATGGGGCAGTGGTGCTGACAGCAGCTCCTTTGCCCTTTGGGGAGTCAAGGCCAGAATGTAACCCCAGCCCTCTGGGCCTCTCTGCTCTACACAGCCTGTTCGCCACCCCTCCTAAATGAGCGGACCCCCCGCCCCCCACCATCAAAAAGGAAGTCTCGTCATAGAGCATAGACCCTGGCCCTGCTCCTCAGGGGCCCTTCCGACTCCATTGCTCCCCTCAGGCATCATCTCAGCCTTCTCCACGTTGGAAAACTACCACCACCATTGCCAACACCAAAGAAAGGCTGAGAGGGCCCTGTGATGCCAGTAACGTCAGTTTTATTGGGTTGGGGCGGCAACTATAGCCTGGCTGGAGGCAGGGCCAACCCTCACAGGTTGTTGAGTTCCAGCAGGGTCTGGTCGAGGGTCTGGTGAATCTCCACGTTCTCCTCCTTGGCACTGGCCAAGGTCTCTGTGAGAGGAAGCAGCACATGAGGAGGGGGAGGGGAGACACTAGGGGACAGACGTGGGGAGCATGGACAGGGGGTGTGACAAACAGACATGGAGTGGGTTGGAGGCACATGAAGACACAGCATTCAGGAATCTGGGGACCCCATGGCAGGGGCAAATGGATGAACTGACCAGAACAGACATGGATGCCTCACTCAAGACTCTGGGGTCATGGAGGTGGGATGGGAAGTCATAAACTAATTTACCATTCTTCTTGAGAGGCTGGAGAGTTGGAAACAGAAGGAAGGACAAAGACTGAGCCAGGAAAGAGAGGGACAGACAGACAGACAGACTTGAGGCAGAGAACAGACCTGCAGTGAAAAACCCACGTTGCTGGCATCCAACGTTTTTCCAAACTTCATCTCAGACCTTTGACAACCTTCTTACCACTCCTCTCCCTTCCCCACCCCATCTCCCTTCCGGTCATTCCTTGAGATCCTGGAAGCCCAGCTCAGCGCTCCAAGGTCAGTGACAGGCCTGGGTCTGCAGAGGCACCGGGAGCGCAGGGTGATGGATGGAATCATACCATGCCCACATGCAGCAGTGACAGTGACAGACTGTGCGTGACATGCAGAGGGGATCTTGGTGTGGGCCACAGAGCTTTGTGGGTGTCACAAGATTGGGGTGTCTGTAAGAGCCAAGGTCTCAGCAGTGCTCTTGTGGGGGAAAAGGAAGGAAGTGCTCTCTGGAGGACAGGAAAACAGCACGGAGACCAAGTTGAGTTTATTAAGCAGCAGAGAGAGGTAGAGGCCGGAGGGTGGAGGGTGGAGTGATGGGTAGAAGGAAGAAGCAAGTGCCAGGGTGGGCAGCACGTGTGATGGGTGCTCTCCCAGGCTGCGCCCGGCCTGGCTATGCAATGTTGGCAACTTTTCTCCTCCTGCCTGATCCCTCCTCAGAGAGAGAATAGAAAGGAGAGGAGAGAAGGGGCCGAGGGGGCCACACTGGTGAGGGGCTCAGAGAGAGGTGATGTCATTGAGTGCGTTGTCCAGCTCCTCGCTGATGGCCTTGTACTTCATCTTCTGCGCATAGACTTCGTCTGGAGGGGGTCCAGGGATGGATGGGAGTGTGGGGAGAGGGAATAGAGGGGAAGAGGAAAGGCAGGAGAGAGGATAATGGAAAGAGAGAACAAGAATCAGAGAGAGGTGGGCAAAGACGAGTGAGAGACAGAGGCCAGAGAGCAGGCTAGTCAGTCCTCAGGGCTCCCTCCTCCCTTCTCTGTACCCCTGTCTCTCTTGTCCTTCTCTGTACCCTAAATTGGTTCTTCTGCCAGGAGTTGCTGCCTCCTCTGGGGACCTGGGGGCACAGTGCTTTTTGACAAGCAGGAGTGCTCGCTTCAAGTGAAGAGAGTTCAAGCCAGAAAGACCTAAAGTCTTACAGAGTTGGAGATAAAACAGAGGCTTGCCTGAGAAGGCTGGACACAAGGGAAACCGGAATTATGAAAGTGAAGGGTTATCGTATAATCGGAAGGAAAGTCAGTTCTAGGCACGATGTTGGTGACAGTGGGAAATAGCCATAGACTAGCAAATACCTGCATGATTGTTTACACCAAATCTAGCTTAAAATAGTACTTTACATCAGTGTTGTCTTGCAAACCTAGATGTTAAACCAAATAGCTCTCTAGGTCACAAAGAAGTCTCTGTGATATGGCTCCCCTGTGTTGCACTTGGAGACAGACTGGTCTAAATCAGTGCTACTCCAAGTGTGGTCTGAGGACCGAGCAGCAGCGTCTGCTTTACCAGAGAGCTTGTTAGACGTACAGATTCTCCAGCCCAAAGGCAGCAGTCATTTCGGAGCAGGACCCAGAAATCTGCCTTTTAAAACCTCTGGGGGATGCTCAAGTTTAAGAAGCACTGGAGGTGTCGCTGGTTACGGGGACTTAAACGGCAGGCACTGAGCACCAGAGTGTGTGGAGTCTGAGGTGGTACAGCCCTAGTTTATCGGTCACAGATACTGTATAATGGGATGCGAGGAAAAGGGGTGAGCTCACAGTCACAGGGAGTGCGGTTTGGGGGTGGAGGGGCGGCCTCCTTTACCTTCCAGGTCATCGATGGTTTTCTCCAGCTTCGCCACAGACCTTTCGGCAAACTCTGCTCGGGTCTCAGCCTGGGAGTAAAGGCAAGATGCGGAAATGACCCGAAAATGAGGCCCTCCCAGACACTATCACTTAAGGCAACCTTTTCTTCGATCCCGGTCTCCAGACTCCCCGCTACAGGCAGTCTCTGCCAGGGACTGTGGGGCTTGACGGGAAGGTGGGGACTGGAAGGACGCTCACCTCTTTTAGCTTCTCCTCCAGCAGTTTGATCTCCTCTTCATATTTATCTTCTTTGGTGGAATACTTTTAGGGACATACACATGCCATTAGTAGATTGCCTCCACACATCCTTCATTTCTCCTGGGCCCCGCAGGCTACTCATGATCTTGTCTCCATGGACCATCCAGCCCCACCCTGCCTGGGCCCATCGCCTCCCTCCCCTGCAGGACCCCATCCTCACTGCCCCTCTACCCCCCTCTACCTTGTCTGCTTGGGCTTCCAGGGATTTCAAGTTGTTGGTAACAATTTTCAGCTCCTCCTCTAGGTCCCCACATTTACTGCAGGGGATGTGTGGCAGGGTGGGGTGTGAGGGCACAGTGGGGGGAGACAGTGGAGGCACAGTGGGGGAGGGGGAGGAGAGAAGAGAAGAGCAAAGTTGTGAGAGTGACAGCAGGCAGTGTTCGGAGGCCCCTGGCCCTTCCCGACCCCCAGCAGATGAGAGAGAGCAGCCTGAGATGGAGGGGAAGGTGAGATGAGAGAAGGCGCTATTGCCCAGAAAGGTCCAGAGAGGTCACTACCTCCTCTTCTGAGGCCATCAGGGACTTGAGGGCCTGGTCCATGGTTCGAAGTTCCTCCTCCAGCTGCCTGGCTCGGCTGGGGGCAGCAGGTAGGGGTCAGAGGACAGGACCTGTCCCTAGGGCCCCAAGTCTGAGAAACTGCTTTCCCACTGTGCAGAGTGCCCATGGTCACCGGCTCAGGCTAAGTTTCACTCCCACCCCAGGGTAATCTTACCTCTCAGCCACCTCAGCTCTTTCTTCTGAGCGCTCCAGCTCTCCTTCCAGGATCACCAGCTTCCTGGCCACCTGAGGTGAGGCAGGAGAAAGAAGGCATAGGTCCCTGGTGAATGACTAGGGGTGTGTGGAGCGTGGGAGTGAGAGGAAGTGGAGCGGGGCTGTCACCTCCTCATATTTGCGATCTGAATCCTCAGCGATGTGCTTGGCCTCCTTCAGCTGCATCTCCTGCAGCTCCATCTTTTCCTCATCCTTCATGGCTCGGTTTTCAATGACCTTCATTCCTCTGTGAGGCAGAGAGAGGGGTGAGGCTGGGGTCAGGACCAGCAGAGAGACCATCCCCCTTCCCTGGCTCCACCCTGAGGACCCCCTGCCCACCTCTCGCTCTCATCAGCTGCCTTCTCAGCCTCCTCCAGCTTTTGCAGGGCTGTAGCGAGGCGCTCCTGCGCCCGGTCCAGCTCCTCCTCTACCAGCTGAATGCGGCGGTTCAGGGAGGCCACATCTGCCTCGGCCTATGGGTCAAAGGTGAGAGATCAGACAGGCTTTGTCTACCTTGGATGAGGATCAGGGAGGCTCCAGAGGATGGTAAGATTCTTATTAGAAAGAACCTAGGCTTCCTGTCTTCCTATTTTTTACCCTCTAATCAACCATCTATCTTCTGCCCAGACTCTATGCTCCAGCCCCAAATACGCATTCCTCGACAAGCTCCACTCTCTGCTACAGGGCCAGTGCAGGCACTGAGCATA